AGTTATGAAATACAGTTGACTTTTTAAATAAATTATATAAGAAAACAATCTATCTCTGTGTATATTTATTTTTAACAAATATTATTACAATAATTAGAATAGGTGTTACTGGTTAAATAGCAATTATTCTCATTCTAAATCTTTGGCTATCGAGTTTCATGGGTTTTTAAATTTAAGATTATGAACACATTGGCTTGACGAAAATGATTATATACACTTAAATACATACTAAAATTTACTTTTGTTAATAAACCTACAATATTTTATGCACACATACAAAAAAGAATATTTTAGCGGCAGTTACAACGTCAAAAAAAAAGGAAACTCCTTTATACTGAATAGTTCTACGTAACAACAAAAAATGTAAAAATACATAGTCCTAGAGCACACTAACACATACATATATACATACGAAGATATGTGTGTGTGTAAGTAGGATGTAAGGTGGGTAGACAGGCGGGGTGGAGGGAAAGCATTTTGGCAGGAATAACGGTAGGTAGGAAAGTAGGTAGGCAGGCAGCAGCGCAGTCAGATTAGTAGATAGGTAGGTACGTAGGCAGGGAGTTAGGTATGTAGGTAGGTGGGCCTAGGTAGGAAGGCGCCTCACTTGCTATAGTGAGCGATTATAGTAGCCCATCATATTCATGGCGTTTCGCAATTATTAAAACGAACAAAGGTACCATAGTACTCACGGGAAAACCCGGGGAGCTAAATGGAACCCTGCCAGGGCGCCACCAAATCGAATTTTTTTTCGTAGAAACCACCACAGGGGTATTAGCATTAACTTCTCAAATTTGAATGACAAACGAATGAAATCTTTGATAATGCTTAAACAAACAAACCCACATATTCGTTTTTGGGGCGCGGGTTTGTCCACACTGCCGCCTAGACGCACCAAGGCTCACTGTATGAAAGCCTTGAGTGTACGTTAATCAACCTCTGTAATAGTGAGGTAGAACACACATTGGCGACCGCCTATGTGTTAGAGACGCGTCCCTTGGCGCTCCAGGGAGCCACTGGTTATATTTCCGCAGGGGCGCCCCTAATTCGGTTTAATTATAAAATGTCGTGTGCCACCGTGTCCCTATTGTAGGGTGCTCTTTAAGGAGGCACTCTCTGTAGAGCCCGGGGCGCTCGATGTCGCCAACTGCCAGGGCGCCGGCGGGTGCTCATTATTCTACTTAGTGAACATTTATAGTAGCCCATCTAAACCGTAGTGTCGCCCGAGATGGGTCTTGGCCGCTCTGGGCCACTCAACCGCCGGGGAGCTGGCGGATGAACCTGGTGTAGTTTTATCACTGAATCTCAGAGGCGTAGCACCATTCCTGGCGCCTGGGGACAAATTTTCAATTTGCCCCCCCCTCCCGCCGGAGACAAACTTTCAATTTGGCGCCCCCTCCCCGTATTTTTTAAATATTTATAATGCAAAACTATAGCTAAAATGAGCTTTTAAATTTTTCCAACCATTTTGGCGCCCCTAGGGTTGGCGCCCGGGGACATATGTACCCCCCGCCCCCCTCGCTGCGCCTCTGCTGAATCTAGTATTACCTATGACCGCAATTGATGAGATAGCCCCTCTGGATTCCCCTCTGGATTCTGAGCTCATAATCGTATAATTAGAAAAATCGAACCCTCCCAGGGTGCCACACTTAAGAATTTTTTTCTTTCTCGAAACCCTTATCACCAACTACTCAAAATTTTATGACTCTCGTACGAACAGTGTCAAATTGCATCTGGCTTTTATTTTTATGGAGAAAAATTGCATTGCTTCCTGTCAGAGACCCCAGATCGAATGGGGCGCAAAAAGGGGTAGACAATTTTTTAAAAAATCCTCATTCTTCGGTAAAATTTAAGAAAACAGATTTATACATGGCTGATATCCTCAATTATTTTATATAGGGGAGTGTATGTAGGGATGGGCGACTTTTTGCCAGCGTTTGAATAGGGTTGGCACATAATTGATAGTTCGCCCCGGCTGCCGGAATAGGTTGCTACGCTTCTGCTTCCTGCTAGGGTGCCGCCCTGGCGAAATCTTTCCGGGGGGGGGGGGCGTGCGGACACTGTTAAAAGTATTTTTTTCTATATAAATTCCGTTTCGTTCGGGGGTGGGGGGGGGGGGGGTCGATAGACTTTCTTCGGGGGGTGGGGGGGGGCTCTGCTTCCCCCCCCCCCCCCTCCGAATAGATTCCTGGAAAAAACTCTGTTCACAAAGTTTTATGGCGATCCGATGAAAAAGATGTAGTAATTCATATAGGACAGATAAACATACTTTCATTTCTATAAATATAAATAGATATATAGGGCCTACTTTAACTAGTGTCCGCATACCCGCACCCGGAAACTTAGTCACAATTTTCTTTGTTACATTTAAACCCTTTAGGTTAATCAATATTAATAACATTGAACAAGATGCAACAAATACAGTTAACCAAGAAATTGAACAAATAAAATTCACGTTATCTTTTTATTGTTTTTAGATATAGAGTAGTAACAGACTACCTACAGGTCCTAACTCGCGACGAGGTACACATTTGTATTAAAACACACATCTAAGACATTTTCCATTTAGGTGGGTTTTGCAGTACAGTGGTTTCTTAAGTCGTGGACAAGTGATTGCGCTTATCTCTGTTGAGTAGCTATGTATTCTGTCCTATATTAGACACATTTGTAAATATCTGTCACAATATGGGCATAGAGATGATATAACGATAGCTTATCTTTGCGGACGACGCTAAACTTTGGCATCGACACCACGGCCTACAAGTTCAAATTCGGTCCTTCAGAAATGTTTGAAGTCTCTAGATTAAAACTACTTTTCTCTTTTATGTACCTACTGACCACATCACATGCATTTGTTCTGAAAGTCTAAAAACAGAGGCACAAATATATCGTCTAGACTTGTGAGGTCTACAGATTAGGTATTTTGGCAATTATCTAAGCCCTTGCCTGTTCTGACTCAAAGCCTTATTCTTTCTCTATCGACGCCTTGCGTAACATGGGATTGGGTTTTTAAGGCGGCATAAAGCTTTATGTTATTCCTTTTTGAGTACACTAGATTAAAAACTAACGTTTTCAGATGCCTAAAGATGTTTAACCACTAATTAATCAGAATAATGGGTCAAGATTTCAATTCTTGGTTTTGGACACGTCAGTTGCCGGGGTTGAGCTAATGTCGATAGCATAAGGACTGTACCTTGATGCGGGCGTTTTATTTGTTGCCCATCGTAATAATTGAATGGTTGATGGGGCTTCTTCAAGGGTTTGATTTGCCGTAATGTTAATGATATCATGCATGTGCGGCTTTTCTAAGAAGAAAATGCGTTTTAAACACTTTTTAGTTATGCTTTTTAAAAATAGGCCTATATTTTACGACATCATAATCGTAATGAACAATAAAATGAATTTAAACAACTTTAGAATACACTTGTTTCGGCTAACATGAATGTTATTCTTCAAACTAGTAATGTTAAACGTGTCTTTTTCGCATTTTCGACTTATAAGCAATACAGTAAATTCCGATAACGTCCATATATGCATACAAGCAATGGCGTAGGCGAGGAGGGGTTTAATAGTGATTTAATAATGATACTTTCTTAACCCTCTACTGGACATCATGTTTGGTACCTTGCCCCCGGCAACTGGGTGGATTTGGATTACACCCAAGTTTTACTTCATAGTAAATGGCTTCAGTTTTAATTATTGGAGTTGGTAGCAACATTGACACAGTTGAAATCACATTAATTAGTATATAATTTACCATTACTAACAATAGGCCCTACATAATTGTTTAATGTTGCTGGATATTAAGCCTGGTAGGTATTTATATTTATTAATTTGTACAGAAACAAAAAAAGGATTCCCAAACAAAGTTTTATTTTTCAGAAATAAAGAAAATGATACAAATCAATAAAGAACAGTTTTCAAAAGAATTTGTATAAAAGTAATTATTATAAAATAAGAATATAGCATTGCATAGATAAAAATAAAATACTTGACACAAACAATATGAGGAATATTTTTTATCAGAGAAGAGAAAAATATATGATGTAGTTTGAAAATAATAATGTACAGAATGTAGCTTTTGCAGATTAAAATGAAAATTCTCATGCCTATATAATTTATTGAGTAAATGAAGCAAGACCCAAAACAATAGGCTAAATAATATGCATGGGACAGGCATTGAAAACTACAAATTGCATATAGTGAAGGTTACCCTATTTATTAGCTATATCCACAGTAAAGATTTATGGCTTTATTACCTGCTTGTAAAATTGTTAAAGAAAAAGTAAAGTATTGTTAACTTTTTATGGCAGACCAACTACGGGCTGTGTTCTGGGAACATGTCATCTGTAAGGGGCATTGTTCTCGGCACATGTTGTCATTTTTTGTGTTCTCGGCACATGTTGTCATTTTGTGTGTTCTGGGAACATGTTGCCATTTTGTGTGTTCTGGGCACATAATGACATTTTGTGTGTTCTGGGAACATGTTGCCATTTTGTGAGTTCATGGAACATGTTGACATTATTTGGCTATGTTCTGGGAACATGTTGCCATTTTGTGTGTTCTGGGAACATGTTGACATTTTGTGTGTTCTGGGAACATGTTGACATTATGTGGCTGTGTTCTGGGAACATGTTGACATTATGTGGCTGTGTTCTGGGAACATGTTGACATTATGTGGCTGTGTTCTGGGAACATGTTGACATTATGTGGCTGTGTTCTGGGAACATGTTGACATTATGTGGCTGTGTTCTGGGAACATGTTGACAATATGTGGCTGTGTTCTGGGAACATGTTGACATTATGTGGCTGTGTTCTGGGAACATGTTGACATTATGTGGTTGTGTTCTGGGAACATGTTGACATTATGTGGCTGTGTTCTGGGAACATGTTGACATTATGTGGCTGTGTTCTGGGAACATGTTGACATTATGTGGCTGTGTTCTGGGAACATGTTGACATTATGTGGCTGTGTTCTGGGAACATGTTGACATTATGTGGCTGTGTTCTGGGAACATGTTGACATTATGTGGCTGTGTTCTGGGAACATGTTGACATTATGTGGCTGTGTTCTGGGAACATGTTGACATTATGTGGCTGTGTTCTGGGAACATGTTTGTTTCATTTTTAAATATTATAATAAAACATTTTTAGAAATTCTATATTAGGAATTGTGTATATATATAAATTTATATATTTAATAAGACAATTGGATGAATTAAAATAAACAGCAAAAATGATTCAAATAAGTTTAGAAGTATTTGGCTTGCTGTCCTAACAGTGAACTGTATTGCGAGCTTGTTTCCCTAGTGATAACCCATGTTTTTTGTGCGACCCTTCCAATCAAGTATCCAGCTTTTTCTTGGCCTGTATCAAAATGCTGGTCAGACTTGCTTGACTTGTGTATCACAATATGATTTTGAATGTTTTTCTGTAAATGAAATAAAGGCAAAATATTTTGATACTTTCTTTTGTGGAACTTGCAAGAAAAATAAATTACAAATTTATATTACTATCTCTAATATTTCTTTACTATAACTAAATACTTTGAAAAGATAAAGCACTGAACATGATGAATAACAAGAAACAAACATTATCAGCAAAGATTATAGATTTAAAATTGTGTTCATTCATATTGAAGATTAATGAAGTAGACTATCAATATTTACCCTCTTGATGGCTGATACTTTGATTTGATGTCTTTACTTTAAGCTTACACATCAGTCTCTGTGTGGTAAAATATGAAATAATATGCTTCAATAAAACTGTTTCAGTATATTAATTATATTAGATAAGTACATAGTTTTGAGCTCTATAACAATATGTGTTTCAATTATCATTCAAATATAATACCCTCTATGTTGTACACTCACTGATTTATTAGAATTGAATTTAAAAAAAGACAATAATTAATAAAATATTTTGGATTAAAATCCATTATATTTATTATAACATACAATGCTATCTCTTGCTATAATAATTACTTTAAAAAATGGGTTATGCCTATAGTACAGTTACCTGAGGATGAAACTAGGCACAGTGTATAGTCCACGGAGACTGATTAATATCCCTTGTAATTGAACATCAGTTGTAGTTATGAAATCTGGATGGCCAAACACACACTCATAGTCCTGAAAAGCAATTTACACATAGATTAGCAAGAATACCTCACAAATTATTAAATTAAAGCTAACCCCTATTTAGTGCAATCCATCAAAGTAGTAGCATTTTTCGTTAAGTTGTAGACACAATACAAAGTAATGTTTGGTCTGTGATTTACATACTTTTATAAAATAGCAATCAAATTATATATATATATATATATATATATATATATATATATATATATATATATATATATATATATATATATATATATATATATCAGTAGCGTACGCAGGGGTGGAGCAGGGGGAGCCGCCGCTCCCCCTCGAGCCATTTTCAGCAAAGTGGCGCCTTTTTGGAAACTTTTTAAACTCAAAGTTTTAATTATTGATATTTGTTAAAAATTAATTTTAGTCGGCACATCTCTGTAAATCACAAGATTCATTTTCATGCAGCAATTAAGCATAGTAGTAATAGACAAGTAGAGTCGACGTTCACAACACGTATTAGCAGCTGCATCAGCTTCTCAATCTAAAAATAACCATTACGATGCATTGCAATGTTTAAAAAACCTCTAAGGGTAGTAGCACTTGGCAAGATTAGTGTTAAGTTTAAGGCACCTGTATAATGTATTTGTTTAGAATAATTGAAGTAGAAAATGCTACACATAAAACTTCACACATAATTACTTTATATATACAGTTTAAATCGTGTAATTAATTTTTTTGAAATTACAATACAGACATAAATACAACTGATGTGGCACCTCTATTTAAATTTACTTATGGGCGAACTGCGTAGCGGTGGGTAAATTTTGACAAGGTCAACAACGTCATCACGATGAAGTAGTAGTATTATGACAGTTTGGGCGATAGTGATTACGATTAAAAATTCATATGAAACAATATCAACTTTATATTAATTATTATTTTAGTTTACTATATCTAGATCTATATTAAATATAAATAATTCTATATTTTGTATTAAAAAAAAGCAACTCAATTTAAACTAACACTGATCGCACAGTTAATTATCCGCTCAGCTTAGTAGCGCAGGCGGGGGGGGGGGGGGGGGGGGGGGGGGTGTTAGGATGGTTATAACCCCCCCCCCCCCCATGAACCCCTCTGTAAAATAATTATTTTTATAATACCACTGCTACTTATTTAAATCTATTTTTGAATCAGTATACATGTGTAATTGAATATGTATGTTTAGAACAGGCGTCTAAAAAATGACGCTAAGTTATCCCCCCTCCACTCCTCACCACCACAATTGTGTAGAGTGACATTAATGTCACACCTAGGTATACGCTGGGTTGGATAATTGACCTAAAGTGACCGGACAGTGTAGTTGAAACCCCCCCCCCCCCACCCCTCCCCGAACTGATCTGCTAAGTACATTTGAAAAAACGCGTAATAATGTACCAAAGTACCATGCCGTCAGAATCATAGCTTTTGAAACGTAAATCTCTGTGAATATTGTTTTTGCTATTACCAGTAAAACAGTGTGAGCAATACAGTGATCTAACCCATACCTTATCATTATGTTTAAAAAAATGATCTTTAAAGAATACAAAAAGTCGGTAGCTAACTTCACCATGTATGATCTGAAATGCAAGACCTATATATTGGTTATCTGTAGGCTATTTATCCGAATTTTATACATATATAATGAAAAGCTGGGTTTTATACCAACTCTGATTTAAAAAACTTTCATTATTCTTTACTACTTTAGCATTTATAATGATACAGGGTTCATGCTCAAAAGTTCAAATAAAATTCCAGGAGTTTTCCAGGACTTTTCCAGGAGTTTAAAAAAAAATTCAAGGAGATTTTAAGGCAAGATTTCTTGATCTATGCCCAAGGATTAGTAACATCAACTCCACAAAGTGAAGGAGGAAGGGAGGTGGGGTATGAAACAACCGTACGAGTGTTACACCACATCAAAGGCGACGATCGTCGGATTGTCGCGTCACGGCACGGAGTAGTGGGGGCGGGTTGAGCTATGGATGTTACGTTGGGTGTTACATACCGTGTAGGATGGTCAGTTGTCTTCCCCCACCCACCCCAGCCCATTTTGGTCGATTTGGCAAGCTAGTATTAATTAAGCGTATTAACAATTTTTAGTCAACCGAAAAAAGAGCCACTGGAAAAATATAATTTATTTTCTATAGCCATTTTTACGAAAAATTAATGTATAAAATAAAATAATGAAACATTACGCGAATCAGCATTGTTTGATCGGGTCGCAGCTATCCGGGTTTTCTAAATAAGATTAATTTTGACGATTAGTCCTGAGCTGTAAATACTACTACAACTTGTTTTGCTGTTTCAATAGTTTAAGACAAAGTTATGAAACATGCCTGTCTACTTTAAAAATCCAAAAGCCGACAAGTCAAACACGAGAACACATGTAGACCTATCTATCTTTAGAAATTGTTTATAGTATCATCCAATCGGGTCAATTGCCTAGCGTCACGTGACCACACACTCGGCTGTGCCACACGATGTGTAGATCACGGCAGTGCGATTTAGTCGGACGACGGCCGATGCGTTTATTTTTATTTTCGTCCCATTTAAAAACCACTATTCAATTATTGGCGGAACAAAATCAAATAATTTCGGTCGGGTTTTGCGCCGCGGGTTAATAAAATTTCATGTAATTTTTAGGAGAATTTTTCAAATTTCAGGAGAATTCCAGGAGGTTTTTATATTTTTTCAAATTCCAGGAGAATTCCAGGAGATTTTTACGGTTTTTAAGATTCCAGGAGTTTTCCAGGACCTCCTGGAATTTCAGGAGGCCGCACGAACCCTGATGATAATATATTTAATTTTGATTGTAGACAAAATATTTTTGTAAAACCGAATAGCGTTAAGGGGATAGGCTCCCGAAAAAAACGGGGAAAAAAACTTTTTAAATTAAAAAGCCTTTTACATTTATTTGTGTATGTATAAGTTAGGGTACTTAAGGAAAAATATTTGGATGTACCAGGGACTCTTCTGAAAATATGGTTGCCATGGAAACGGCGGCCATCTTGGAAAAAACTACCGATGTGGAGTTCTAAAATTTCCTAAAGTAACAAATAAACCGCCCATATAATCATTGATCTTTATTGTACTAACACAAATAGAGCCAGCTGGCTAATTTTTGTTACCAAAAAACAGCTAGAAATATTTTTTTCAAATTTTCAAAAACAAATTTGGTGAAATTCCATTGAATTTAGCATTATTTTCATTGGAATTTCGTCACACCAAATTTAGAAAATTAAAAAAAAATATTTCTAGAGTGATTTCTGTTACAAAAACTAGCCAGCTGACTCTATTAGCGTTAGTACAAGAAGGATCAATGGTTATATAGCCGATATTTATGTTAGTTTATGAAATTTTAGAACTCCAGAAAAGGATGTTTTTTTCAAGATGGCCGCCGTTGCCATGGCAACCAAATTTTCAAAAGAGTCCCTGATGCATGGAAATATTTCCCTACAAGTACCCTACTTTAGATATACACAAATGAATCAACCAAAGCTTTTAATTAAGAAGTTGGTTTTTTCTGGAGCCTACCCCCTTAAGCTACTTTATTAGATTATTAAGTAATTATTGAGTTGTTTTGATATTTATAATTAAATGTGTAGACATATATATATTTATATTAAAATAGTGATTATTTCCCCTTTTCGCTCGTCTTAATAACTGTCCCAGAAATTATTATGTAATTTTTTTTACAAGGATTACAAAACAGATTATGTTGCGTTCATTGTTTTTGGTTGTAGTGTGTGTATATTTTTTGTTTGTTTAGAGTGATACATTTTTTTGTTTTGTCAGCCTACATTTTTGTTTTCTCGGCCTACAATGTGTATGTTTTTTTTTTAATTTCTTCAGAGTGCTACTTTCAATTTATTTTACATCATAGCGAAGCAACAACATGCAGCTAATATATATATATATATGTATATATATATATATATATATATATATATATATATATATATATATATATATATATATATATATATACGTGTATAGAAGATATTACAAATTCGGCGCCTTTTTTTGCTATTTTCGCTCCCCCTACACTGAAAACCTGGATACGCCTCTGATATATATATATATATATATATATATATATATATATATATATATATATATATATATATATATATATATATATATATATTCATTGTAAATTTTAGCTATGTCTTGCTATTAAATTTATTTACTCGATTGATCTAAACTCACTTTATTTAAACATAATATAGTGGATAAGTATAGTGATTTTATTATTCAGCAATAAATAGCAGCCCTAAAAAAATTTAAATAGTAACGTTTGCGAATGAACACATTAAATTCTATGTATTTCCATTTCTATGTCTTTCCCAACTTGATGCATATTACTAACCAAGCATTAAACTATAGTCCTAAACCTGACTCTAATTACCATTTATTGGACAACCTGAACCGTTGCGATACCATGTTATAATATATTATTTTAAAAAAGAGCTTACCACTAATTAGTAAAATCAATTGTTTTTAGTATTAACTGAGCCGCATACTATCTGCTGCTATTGTCATCACCAGAAATCCAGTATGTTGGCAAAGATTAGTCTCTAAGTTCCCTGCAACCTCTTTCCTCTCGAGTGCGGAAAACACTGAAATCATTAATCATTATTTCATTATGCCTAATAGTTTAAAGGTACTATTAAAGTAGTACTAAATAGTACGAGTCTAAGTTACTATAGGTCTAATGATAATTATTATTGTGTATGCTTACATGCTTTAAGTTTTATGCACAATATTGGTATAATATATAGTCTATAGTATATAGCCTAAGCTATAGAGTATACAGGCCTATGAGCCTAAATATAACAGCAGCTTGAATAATGCTCATTAGCATGCATTCACTATAAACTATAAAGATAATCAAATATTTCAATTTAATTAAATTATAACTAATAGGCCTAATAGTAAATAGGCTTTTTTCTTGTGGCAACAAATTTAAAGTATAGGGCAGTACAGTTATAGTATAG